AGGGGTGGATTTACGTGCGGGTCTGACCTTATTAGACAAGGACCAGAGGATAGCCACGCCCCTAAAGCATATTCTGGTTTTATCCTTTATTCTAGTCTATTTGGGACCATAATTTACAAAAATGAGCATCATGATATATCAATGGAGACTTGAAACTTGCGATGGATACAATAAAGTAATGTGGGAAATCATTATTTAAATAATAAATCAGGTGGGAAAGTAGGGTCATTTTCTCAGGCTTCGATAGGATTGAACTTCTTTCTGCAACCACCGACCCCGCCATCTGCTTGCCATTAAATAGAATGCAAATTTTGGAGATTTCTGCATTAGCCTCAGTTTTCAGACCCGAGTGCTGCGTCCATCTTTCTATACAGTCTATGGTTAGCACAACCAAGTCACTTACTCAATTGTAGTACATTACAGGTGTATGAGATGTTTTTGTTTCAATAGGATACACAGAGAGTACAAAATAGTTAGATGCATGACTTGCCGTTTTCCTTTTTGGAAAATGGATCAAATCATAATGAAGTACATACCTACCTAGTCTCTCCAATGAGGAGATTTAATACTTGGTTTGTGTATGTCATATTTTGCTTTCTGTCTAGGCTATACAATAAACTTGTGTTGCTTACTACTACTACCTACGTTTATGATGTGTAGAATTTATGTTCTTTTGAAGTAAGTCGCGCATAAAATGACAATTTTTTTTTTTTTTTTTGCCTGGCTAAAGGCTGCTGTTGCCGGCTTCATGTTGCACACCCCGTGATTATATCCCTGAAATACGAGTTTCGGGGATATTGTGGTTTCGCCCCACCCGCCGCCGCCGCCGCATCTGCAGATTTTACCCATTAGCGCGATAACTCACAAAATATATTACATTCGCTTCTCATTTTTTGCATATGGGTAGATATGGTAGAGAGGATGAACTGATTAGATTTTGGGCAAGTGTGCACTCCTAGGTTTGCCACCAGCTGGCGCTATATATTGAAAAAAAATCAGTTTTTTAACCATATCTCTGGAACAATTACTTACACAGACCTCAAATTTGCCTCATATTGTAGGTCTAGTAAAGGGGAATCTAATAAAGGGGCTTCAAGGATTGGGGAATTTCGGGGATATACCCCTTGCTGTTGGCCGCCGACAGCGTAGGCCTAGTTGTGTTTGCAGACCCTGTTACTCATTTTCTGCCAAATACTCTGATCATTTAAGTATTTTGTTGACAAAATCTTAGTAGCAATGAGAGTCAAGGAAATTGTCTAAAATCTCATTTGTTTTCTTAAATGAATTACTGGTGTGGAGTCTAAGCATCTAAAATTGCAAGGGCCTATTACTATACCCCACCCTTAACTTCTTTGAGGAACATACCTTTCTCCTAACAAGAATCTCAATTGCTTAAAAACTCAAAATTTCAAGGAGGTTGATGTTTTCGAGCAAGATGCTTTTCTCAGCTGTTGTTATCGTTTACTTATTGTAGGCTAAGCTGAATAATATCTTTCATTCGGGGGTCGTATTGATTTTAGCAGCTGCATGGTTATGGTAAAAACGCTGGAAGTCTCTAACTTTAGTCCCAGAAGCCCACAGTCTCTGCAGGCTTTTGGGGATTTCCTTTCAATCAGCATCCATGTGGTGCCTTTAAAAGGAGTTGTACTGACGCAGATTAGCCGCTCAAGGGCTGGATCTCCTTTAGAATGTACAGACACTATGGCCCACCAGGATTTGAGTCTGTGATTCATGATATAGGATTTGAGATAAGACGGTAATGATTTAGGATTAAGCATGCATTGCCCTGTGTTGGGGTTGGATGTCCAAAGTTCGCAGGGAGATGCTTTTGTGTAATGTCATGACTTCTTGTTATGCTGGGGTTGGGCTGGACGATACATTTTTTACTATAATTTTAAGCGCAATAACAGGATGTTCCACAAGCCCCGGCGGCCAGTGATTTTGCTGATTATTCAGTCCTCTTCCATCGGCTACTTTCCTGACAAATTTAAATGTCTAAGGCGAGTTTTGATGCTTATAGCTTGATAAACGCTTTTCAATTCGCAGATTTACCTTCTCGTCGCCGCCATATTGAAACATTGTTCTAAGCCGCACTGTGATTACTCAAGGACAATTTCAACATTCAATGATATTGCACGCTCGTACTTCCATCATCTTTGAATTGTTTCACTTTCTGAAAATCTTTGAATTTCCATTGGTAGCTTGTTTAGAGATGCCACTCTGATGAAGTCGTCTGGCGTACAAACACTAATGATTTCCTTTAAGAAAAGGTAATTTCAACGCAATACATTACACAGATGAAATTTCATTCTGTTGAGAGTTCAGCCCATGAACAATGATAAAGTAAACGCCCATATATTCATATTGAACGGCCACCTAATTCCCCAATGTTAACCCGGGGACACTCTCAGCCACTACGCAATTATTAAATGTATTAAAAGTGGTGGTTTTGACAGAAGTCTTCAGGGTTTTTAATCAACTCACTATGTCCCCGAAGAAAACCGGCGTCGAAACGTTATAGTGTAAATTGTTACTGCATGGTGGCAGCGAGGGTGTCAATGCGTTCTTCATTTTAATACCAAGTATTAATTTGCTCAGTTGCTGAAACAACATAATGACTGGTAAATTAGTTTGAATTGTAAATAGTAAACTAGTAAATCAGCTTGAATTCTGTTCATTTTATCAAAAAATATCACACATTTTCTTCAATGAGGACATAAAATGTCAATTGTCTTTTGGATATTCTGAATCCTGTAGCTCACAAGACTAAGGCTGCAATTGACGCCGTTTTGCGCCAATGTTCTTTATTCAAAACGCTCGAGATGTTTCACATTATAAAGGTTTCCTTTAAACTAATGAAGACTAGGGCTGGGTATTGCCACTGATTTCCTGAATCAATTCGATTTCGATTCACAAGGTCCCGATTCGATTCGATTTCCGATTCGATTCGATTCAATATTGATTCATTGAAGGATATTTCAGCTGCAGTACCTGTTTTGCTTGAATAAGAAAGGGAGTCATAGAGATTTAATGACAGAAATTATACTTTCAGTTGAATTATTAATAAGAAACCTTCTAACTAGGCACAATATTTAAAATATTAAAGTTCACCGAAAAAGTGACCCCAAACTTGTTTCCTGAAAATACTTTTTATTGACCAACACATTTGATCAATCAACACAATAAAGTGCAACATAGACTTAACAGTCAGTAGACGATTATTCTCTGAAACTGGGTCAATATTACATGCTTCACTTTGCAAGTTCATTTTCCAGTGAATGTTATTGAATTTAAACCAAAATACCCCACATGGACATGTTCGACTGTACAGAAATAAATATTACGATACATTCAACAAAGAAAATAATATTGGATTTTTTATTCGAAAACTGGTTGAAATGGTGGACGAAAATTGGGACGTTTTATTACTAAACTTCCACCCGACGCTGTTAATGAAAATATATCTCCCAACACATGTAGTTGAGCTTAAAATAAAGATCTGATACCGAAGTTTATATCCAACGTTGATTTTGTTCTCTCATCATTACTTGTAGCTTGAAAATCCGGCCTCAATGTATCGTTCCGTGCGTAGCCAGTCGTGTCCACTGCAGTTACGTGCGGATCACAGTACATTTTTACCTTCAACAGGTAGTTTCGCATTTGCAGCATGCTTTCTATCAATGAAACACTGCTCGATGTACATTTATATGACACGTAGTCAAAATACCTCTACCTGCAATTAACTTATTCATTATTATCCATTACGTCGGGAAATTCATTATTTAAGTAGTTTTTTTTGAGGATTTGTACTTGAGTTTTTTTTTTTTTTTTTTGAACTGGGACTTTTACTCTACTACATTTAAAAGATAAAAAGTATACTTTTACTTAGTTACTTTGACACTGGCCACTTCGTTACTCGCTACAAATTATATATGAATGTAATTCATAAGTTAAGGATTATCTGGATTTGACGTGTTCGAGAAGAACAACGGTGCTCGGCAGGGTATCTTAAGCGCCTTGTGCAGACGTGTCCGCCAGCAGACATGGAGCTGCAAATTTATGCATGCAGAACAATATTGTATCACTAGATGGCACTCCCGGATCAGTTATTGAATATTCACAAACAAGATGGAAATGCACTAATAAATAAATGAATAAAATGAATCGATATCGAAAATTTAATGAAAAAATCGATATGAATCGGAAAATCGATTTTTTGCACCCAGCCCTACTGAAGACCATTTACATAAGTGCCATCTTAGAGTAAATTGCACTGCTGAGAAAATGCTGGAACGAGAGCTGCAATTTATGGCAATTGGCAGCCCCGACAAGGTGGGGCTGCTTTCAGTATTTGCCCGAGTTCGTCCGCGGCTGCCGCACTTTGTTTCGCCTATAACTTTCTCGCTATTTTCAACTTATTTCTAATACTTAAGTTGCAGTCATTATTGCCCTGGGGAATTGTTTTGACATAATCACTGGTCACCTCAAAGGTCAAGGTCATGACAACTGGCACACCCCTCAAAATGTTTGTTAACACAATAGCTTCAAAAGTATTTACGATCGAAAGCTGTAACTTGGTATCTAGCAACAACAGAACAGGGCTTAGCTTCTATTAACTTTTGGGCAAATTCCACACAAGGTCAAGGTCACAATGAGGTCATGACATCTGACCACGTCCCTCAAAAAGCTTGTTAATAGCATAGCTTCAAAAATATATATAGTAGAAAGCTGTAACTTGGTATCTAGCAACTATACAACACGGCTTAGCTTCTATTCACTTTTGGGCAAATTCCATGCAAGGTCAAGCACCACTTTGTTTTGCGTATAACTTTCTTGCTATCTCTAAATTATTTCTAATACTTTAGTCACAGGTATTATAGCCCTGGGGAATTGTTTTTGCACAATCACTGGTCACCTCAAAGGTCAAGGTCATGACAACTGGCCACACCCCTCAAATTGCTTGTTAACATGATAGCTTCAAAAGTATTTATGATAGGGGCGCCCCGGTGGCTCATCGGTCTGGGCGCGCGTGCCGTGGGGGCTGTGTCCTTCCCGCGGCGGCCTGGGTTCGATTCCCGCTCGGGTCGTTTGCTGCATGCCTTCCCCCGTTCTTCTCCCCGGCTTTCCTGTCTCTCTGCACTGTATGGCTGTCAGATGGAGGAAAAATTCCCAAAAAAATAATCTAAAAAAAAAAAAAAAGCTGTAACAGATGGGTTTAAAAAAAAAAAAAAAAGTTTATGATAGAAGGCTCTAACTTGGTATTGACGAACTATGCAACACGGCTCCGCTTCAATTAACTTTTGGGCAAATTCTATGCAAGGTCAAGGTCACAATGAGGTCAGCTCACGGGTTAGCTCACTCGGTTAAGGCGCTGCATTTGCAGAGCAGTAGTGACTACTATGGCGCGGGTTCGATCCCTAGTCGTACCAACCAGCAGTGGTCGGCAACTTTTTCAGTACAGCGAACGATTGGCTAAAGCACTGTGGAAATGTAAATTAGGAAGGGAAATTAAAAATGATTGCCTTGTTTGTCGCTCAAACGCCTCCTGTTGGCCAACTGGGCGCTCATCAGTGAGATTCTAAGTATGCTCGTGTTCGGGCATCCTCTGCTCTTGTTCAGAACTTGAGATAGTTTCGACTAATGAGTGTAAAGATACAGGGGCTGACAGGCGCGTGCTACGGAGGAGAGCCGCAAACTGTCTCTCTCCTGAGCTGGCAACAGGGGGTTGCATACGGGCAAGCCTTGTACATAGTTCTCGGATTGGGCATTCCAGATTCAGGTGGGATTGGAGATGCCAAACTTATAAAAATAAATAAATAAATAAAATAAAAAGTATTTATGATAGAAACCTGTAACTTGGTATATAGCAAATGTATGGCAGGGTTCATCTTCTATCAATTTTGGATGTCATTCTACTCAAGGTCAAGATCACTGCAAAAGTTCATTACTGTTGAGGTGTCTGTAATTTTCTTGCTATCTTGAACCCATTTAGTACTTAAGTCACAGTTATTTTACCTCTGGGAAATTGTTTTGGCATCATCACTGGTCACTTCAAAGGTCAAGGTCATGAAATCTGGCCACACCCTTCAAAATACTTCTTAACACAATAACTTCAAAAGATTATATGACACCAAGTTGTAACTTGGTATATAGCAACTACAGAACAGGACTCAGCTTCTGTCAACTTTTGGGCAATTTCCGTTCATGGTCAAGGTCATAGTGAGCTCATGGTCATGGATGTACTCACATAGAACTTAGTGTTGACACAATATTTGTATATATTTGATTACTCTTCATGAAATTTACTTATAAATGTCTCTCAAGGGCAGGTGGAATGGAGGGGGTGCTCTGCTTTTACAGTGTCCCGCAAACACTTTTCTAGTTTTTGGATGGATTAATGCCATTCTTTCAATATGTGTATTATGTGCTTTGTGAGTGTTACCTATCAATGATCTTTTTCCCATTAATTTAAAAGTCTTAATCATTATGGGCTTATGTAGCAGTCTTGATTATTCAGTTAAAAAACTGTTTTATTGTTAATCAGGCAATCTTAAAGAGGTGCAGGTTGAGAGCAATTGTACTTAAAAAAGTGAGGCTTCAATGCCTCTGACAGCAGGCCACAGAAGATCTGTCAGAAAATTTAGCGGCATTGGGGTTCAACTGGTTAACTCTTGCTAAATTAAATGTTATTTTGCCCTGTGTTTACTGATGTAGATGTGGGGTGGGGTGAGGTCCAAATTTGATATCTGTAAAATTATCAATTCTCACTGTTGGCATATATATTTCTTTTACAATGATTTGACATATTTCAAATTTGGTTTAACCAGTTTATCAGCTTATTTTTGAATTTTAAATTCCATATTTTTGCCTTTACTTCATTAAAACAATCCATTAATTAACATAATTTAATCTAATTTGTTTGAGGTGTGTTTCATGAAAGCTGAATGTTAAGCTAAAAAACAAAAAAAAAAATTTGCATCATGTCTGTGATTTTTTTTTCATTAAGTAAAATGGCTAGATGAACATTCTCATGCGTAGAGATTCCATATTTTTTTGCCAGAAATTGAATGCAGTTTTTGATATTGATATTGCTGCAGTTTTTTTGGAACTTATTAAATTCATTCCTTTAATCTCCATGTTGTTATAATAACAAATGGATAATAATTCAGTGCCAAAAAAGAAGCCACAGACAGTTAAAGAAAAATGTGTTGTCATAAACAATAGGAACAGAATTATTGAAATAAAATTTTAATTGTAAGAAAATGTAAATTGTATATTTTGTTATACTACAGGATAAGACAGGCAACCGATGCAAGATAAAGGATAAATAATAATAAAATAGAATAAGTGGTTCAAAGAAATAATTGCTTATAATAAATAATTTGAGATTATTTGTACTTGCTTTTGGTATTACACATACTGGTGTTTGTGGTGCTAGCTGGTATTGTGATTGAAGTCATAGCATGCTGCTTAAATATAGAGATTGAACTTTAATTAAAAAAAAAAAAAGTGAAACTTCATCATATAATCCCGAAACTATCCTCTGAAAAATATATGCATTAAGGTGTCTAAGGTGCTCTAGACTTGCACTTCACAATGCAATTTCAATGTCTTATATCAGCAAAATTGTTACAGATAAAGTGTTGGTTTGTATTGAAGATGTATAGGAAGTCATTCATGAACTTTCATTTGGTGGCCTTGAACTTGACCTTCGGTGACCTTTGAAGGTTAAACTTCACATAGTAAAATTTCAATGACTTCTATCACCAAAACTATTACAGATAGAGGTTAGAGGTTTTACCAGCAAAATCGTTACGGATTGAGTGTAGGTTGGTATTGGAGTCGTATAGTAGGTCATACATGAACTTTCATTTGGTGACTTTCATATTGACCTTCGAAGGTCAAACTTGACCAAGAGAAAATTCAGCGACTTCTGTCACTGGCAAGGTCACTGTTGGAGCCTAGGTTTGTGTTACTGACATAGGAAGTCACATATGAACTTTCATTTGGTGACATTCAACTTGACTGTTGGTGACCTTTGAAGGTCAAATTTGACATAATACAATAACAATGACTTGTATTGCCAAAACGGTCACAGATGGAGCCTAGGTTTGTATTAGAAACATATAGGAAGTCATATATGAACTTTCATTTGGTGATCTTCGTATTGACCTTCAAAGGTTAAATGTGACCTATTGAAAATTCAATGACTTGCATCACTAAAATGGTCACAGATGGAGCCTAGATTTGTGTCACTGACATCTAGGAAGTCATGCATGAACTTTTATTTGGTGACATTCAGCTTGACTGTCAGTGACCTTTGAGGGTCAAACTTGACAGTGAAATTACAATGACTTGTATCACCAAAATGGTCACAGATTGAGGTTTGTATAGAGACATTTAAAAAGTCATATATGAAGTTCATTTGCTGACCACGACTTAACATTCTGTGACCTTCAAATTCACAATTGACACATTGAATTTTCAATGACTTGTGTCAACAAAACATCTTCAGAGCATAAGGTTGTGTTTGTATTACAGGAGGTCCTATAAATGTATGTGAACTTTTATTTAGTGGCCCTGACATTGATTTTCATCGATTCAAATGTCAAACTTTACATGAAATGTTCATAACTTGTATCATCACTATAAGACTACTTGCCGGTACGCTACAGGAACCTTGGTCCTATTTTCTTTTTTTTAGTCGGATGAATTTTCCTGTAAATTTGCCATAACATACTACTAAACCAAATCTTCAGACAGTTTTTCAGGATTTTTGATTGAATCATTTTTGTCTGTTTTATGGGCCCTTGAAATTTTGGCCCCAATGTTAAAAGATAGGACCAAGAAGTAAAAATTATTTCTCAAAAACTGCTTGATAAATTTTTTCTCTAAATCGGGTAATCGACTTATCTTGGTACTTTCAATGTGCAGTGCCAGTGCCATTTTGATTGAATCGACACAAGTGGGTCTTCCGGGGGGGGCACTTTTCTTTGACATTGGGTCTCATGGAGAATATGCAAAATGGCCTGTGGAGACCAAATGGTTGCAGATAGAGATTAAGTTTGTATCACCCACATATGGGAAGTCATATATGACCTATATTTTGACAATGTTAAATTTGATGTCAGAAGACTTTGAACGGTTAAACTCAAGGTCAAGGAAAATATTAACAATGTTAAAAGATAGGACGTGTAATTTTAAAAAAACATTTCTCAAAAACTGCTAACTTTCTTTCTAAATCAGGCAATCAACTCACCTTGGTACATTTATGTACAGTGTTAGTGCCATTTTGATTGAATCGACGGAAGTGGGTCTAATGGGGACGCTGCGCTTTAACTATTGGAGAACTATCGGCCAATTAATATCCTACCCGATGTATCAAAGGTGGCAGAGAAATGAGTTGCCATGCAATTAACGGAACATCTTACCCGCTGTCATACCCCTCTCCACCCAATGCAGTTTGGACTTTGTAAACATCACTCCACCGGTACAGCCACCTGTTACCTCTTTGAGAACATCAAAAATTTATTAGATCAGGGTACTGATAATGTAACAATGGACTAATAATGTAATAACTGCCCGATAATGTGATAAAATTAACCAATTATGTAGTAACTGCCTGCTCGATAATGTAATAACATTTTAACCAATAATGTAATATAAAATGTTTGCCCGATAATGTAATAACACTCAACTGATAATGTAATAACTTATAATGTAATAACTTAGTTCATTCAATTCATCTGGGCGTGAATGGGTAACGGTTTTGCCAGATAATCAAGTCAAAGTCATGTGGGCATCAGTGAGTGGCAGTTTTGCCAGATCATCGAGCCAAATTCATGTGGGCGTGTGTGAGTGACAGTGTTGCCAGATTATCGAGCCAAATTCTTTCGAGTGTGAGGGTTGCCAGATATGTCGGGCCAAAGGTGGAGTCCCACTTTCTGCCCCATTCAGGGCATTTTCTGGCCTATACCACCGATTTCAAAATAATTTTCAGCATTGAGAAACCACCCCAAGGGGTTCATGAATCCACCAGAGAAACCTGCGATATCAATTTTCTTTATTACAAAAAATGATATTTTCA